CTCTATTATTGTTATTACCATTATTACGGTCATAATTATTATAATTATTTCTGTTGTTATAATTGTTATCGTTGCCTCTACCTCGATATGAACCTCGTTGGTTTTAACTTCTCTGGTAGAGAACAGTGCTTGGACTACCAGTCATTTTAGCACAATGGTTTATATACTTTGAAATGGCTTCATCCGCTGTTTTGAATGAACCTGCCTGAAGTATATTCTTAAGTTTGCCGTTCTCGTAATTGTCTATCATGACATTTAATGCTTCCTCAGTGCTAGGTTCTTCAGCATTCTTTGAAGAATATCCGTTATCAATATACGCGTTTTCAAGGTAAAGACGTAGTTTATTGATTTCATCAGTAAACTGAGTGGCTGTTTTGCCTCTCTGGTGTACTGATGCCATTTTGGCTTTTAACAGTTGAACGGTATCACCGACTACTGTGTCTTGCAGTTTTCTAATTATGTCAGTTATTGTTGTTTCGTCTTTTACTCTATTTCTGATTGCGCCCGGTAATTTGGACTTTACAATCTTGAGTGCAAGATCTGCAAATTCGTCTGCCGTCGAATTCTGGTATGGATTGGCTAGTTTCTTTTAAATACGCCCTTATGGCGCTGGGTGTCCTAGCTTCAGTCATGTTGCTTGCTATTAGGTCCACGACGCTCGAATTTGTGTCTGGATACGTGTTATCTACGTGAAACGTTAGTGTGGCTGGGATAGTAAGATTTGCCAAGTCTTGTTCTTGGACTTGTATATCTTCTTCTCTACTAGCCTCAAATTTTACTGGTGTATTTAGAATAGACGGCACAGTTAGATTAAGATTATGTTTCTCTTTTATACTTTGCAGATTATTTCTTAATCTTGTCAATAACCTCGACGTTTCTGACTAATGTTGATCGGTTAATACGTCTTTATGATTATATATTAATATTCGCGCTTCATTAAAACAGTCGACTAAGGTTATTGCATGTCTGTCTACTGTGTCTTTATGAGTTTTTCTATTCTGCGTTAAGCATTTGTATGCTTTTTCAAATTTGACTTTTATATTAAGGATTCGTTCAGAGAGTTCTGACCATTCCATAATATGAATATGAGCAAGCTGTTTGTATTGCGAGGTTTAATACTTGATTACCTCGTAGCTAATTTCCTTTGATTTCTCGTTAAATACTGTCATAGTTTCTATGCCAGGTATTCACATCAATAATTGAGCCTTTTATTTATTAGATAGACCTATAAAAGGGGAGAAATCTAGATCATATGTTCTCATATATATGTTTTTGAAATTTCATATATAAGTGGGACAATATGATACAATGAAATTAACTCTTTGAGCAAGGTCCGGCTCTTTTATCAAGACCTTTTTTTAAATTTCTCTTTGTTAGGATACTCATAGCCTTTTGTAAATTTGGCAGTTAATCAACTTTCATAATATTTTGTTAATGTACTTGTATTTTTATTCATTAATCGACACGGGAGTGTCTGTAACTATGGCCGTGAATCCCTTAAAAACTCCGGCTCATATGTCAAAATGCTCCCTATTAAAACTGTATGCTTGACATGTGTATGCATGTTGTTAGAATTTTATTTTTTTAATTTTGATCTTATATATATATATATATATATATATTATATCGTATATATATACTTTTTTTTTTGTTTTATATATGATTTTTCTTTATTATTATTCATGCTTCATTTTTCCAATTTCAAATCTTATCCAAGTCATTTGCTTACTTATACAATTTATACAACAAATGTACCAAAACTATAATGAATATTATTATTTCTAGTAAAGTGAGGACTTTCAGATCAGCATTTTGCACTTTCTACTTTATTAATGACATTTTATTTGTCTCTATAGACATCAAGTTTTTTTCTTATATAAAAAAAATTCAATTTTCGTACATCATATTTTCTATCAATAGTATAGTTTACAAATTTGAGAGTTATTTTTCTCTTTGCCTACCTAATGTTTTCGAATGGCTTTACAGGCCAAACGTCTTGCCGGTCGACTCAATTGTCGTCAGGCATTACAAATATTTAATAATAATGTTAAAATTACTGTTGGGCACTCTTTAGTGCTGTCGGTCAGTTCACCCTTGGTGTACCTCTCGTACTTCTTCTCGCTTCAACTTTGTCACAAGGGGCGGTCTGCCTCTCGTGATTAATTATTTATTGTTGCTTTTTGAAACATCTACTGCTTTGCCTGGCATGTGCCCAGAGTGGTTCTTCACAGTCCTGTGGGCATTGGCGTTTTCTTTGTGGTATTTCCTTCGGCTGTGGGCGATGTGTTTTGTTGTTAATTTGAGTTTATATATTGTCTGAGGGACAGGGGTTGCTCTTCACCTTTAACAGTGACTCTAAAGGGTCGAGTTCACTTGTTAATTTTACTGCAGTTTCCCAGGGTAGTGGGTTTTCGGATTCATATAAAAGTCTTACGATCTCAGACTTTCTCTGTCTGATCCGCTCTTTAATGCCACTGAGTCGTATGGTTTTCTTGGTGATAGTGGAGCTCATACTCCTGTACTCACTCAGTTACAAAAGTTTTTCCAGTTTTCCGCCAGTTTGTTTCCAGCTTCCTGTCCAGCCAGCACAGTTGTCTTCGAGAAGTTTTTGGAGAGAGTTATTGGAGAGAGAGATCCGCTTTAGGTCCTGGTCTTACTAGACCCATGTCACTGTCGCCATGTTGTAACTTGAAGGTATTTCCACGTTATGTTGTAAGTTGAAGGTGTTTCCAAGTTATGTTGTAGACATCAATAATGGAATACTTCAAGACTTGCATGTCAGTGCAGTTTGAGTGTAGGTTTTATAATGTTCTTTTATTTTAAGTCAAAATGTTCTCTTACCCTAAGTACATCAGTTCAGCGCGCACTGCGCTGCCGGTTGAGCCGGCAGCGGCGAGGCTGCATTATATATTTCTTATATGTATATGCTTATACTTAGGTGACAATGGACATGCATGCTTGTCTTACGTAAATACTTTAGAGTGAGAGAGAGTATGCACTTATGCATAGGGCACTGGCGGTCAGCGTGCATATGCTGACTTAGCCGAATTCACAAGTGGCCGATTATATTACGCGCTCACTTGAGTTTGTTTTGTTTATTGTAATTTGTTGTGGCTGCACAAAGTGTTGCCGCCACATAAGTGCCAAACACAGTGTACACTCGGTACAAGTGGTAATCACAGTGCACACTCGATATGTATGGCATATGTGCATATTACAGTACTCCCATATTTTAAGATGTCTTTCAAGCATTTGATAGAGTCTGGCTAGAAGGTCTAGTGTACAAGATCAAGACAATGCTCCCCTACAGCACCCACAAGAATTTAGAGTCTTACCTTCACGACAGAAAATTTGTTGTGAGGTGCAACTCTGCTATATCTGATGATTACACTGTTGGAGCTGGAGTTTCTCAAGGTAGCGTGCTAGGGCCAACACTATATGTCCTCTACACAGCAGACATCCCGACAAGCACACGTCTAACAACATCTACGTTTGCCGATGACACAGCTATTCTTAGCCGTTCTAAATGCCCGATTCAAGCAACTGCGCAGCTATCTCGTCATATGGTCGATGTTGAAAAATGGCTATCAGATTGGCGAATTAAAGTGAACGATTTAAAATGCAAACACGTTACGTTCACTCTGAACAGGCAAAACTGCCCGCCCATTATGTTAAACAACACTCTACTCCCAAAAGCAAACGAAGTAACTTACCTAGGAGTACATCTCGACAGAAGACTCACATGGCACCGGCACATTGAAGCCAAAAGAACACACCTAAAGCTAAAAGCCAGCAGCCTTCATTGGCTTATCAACGCCAGGTCACCTCTTAGCCTTGAATATAAAATCATGCTGTACAACTCGGTACTAAAACCTATATGGATGTACGGCTCCCAGTTATGGGGGAACGCCAGCAATAGCAACATTGACATTGTTCAGAGAGTTCAGTCGAAGATCCTGAGAACAATCACCGGGCCACCGTGGTACGTCGCAACGAAAACATACACCGCGACTTAAACATTCAACCAGTCAAAGAAGTGATCGCAGAACAAAAGGTAAAGTACTTCACCAAGCTATCGGTGCACCCTAACCACCTGGCGAGAGGTCTAACAAGATTGAGGGATTCTGAGGGACGCGCAACCAGAATGCAGTCTTAGTATAGTTAATTAAATTTAAATGTTAAGACTCGTCAACTTATTGTTAGTCTCAAAATTAAGAGTAGATTCAATAAATAAAAGCAAAGCTATATAAAAAAAAAAAAAAAAAAAAATTTTAGTTTTATATCGCCGCAAGCGCTTAAAGCTTATGGGCGAGCAAGCCCCTATGCTCCGAACATTTAAACAAATGAACATTCAGAGCATAGGCGTTGAGAATCCTTAAGATAAACCTTCTGCTGACTGGAGGGAGGAGAGATTATTGCAAGGCAAGGATCTGAAGACAAGGCGTAACCCGTTAACAAAAGTAGGTATAAAGAAACAAAGAGAGTATATTTAGCAAGCGGAGTCAAATGGCACTTAAGTAAAAGAATGAGGTGCCCGATATATGGATTTTGATGTATCAGCTTTTCTGAGTCAGCGAATTGCAGACGAATTGGCTGATTGTCGTTCTGACTGTGGGAAGGCCGACGTAGTTAGGCGGCCCTTGTTTTGATATTCATTTTATTGTCTACTTTTATTAATGCTGTAATACCAAAGATTGATGCTTGTTAACAAATATTTTAAAAATATATAAAACAGTAACGGGTATGTATTATAATTATTTGTATTATTTGGTATCACCCGATATCTTATTTTAATGTGAAAATTCCCGGCTTATTATTATGAGGTCTCAAGCTGAGCTTATTTATTTTAATGACTTCATCTACAATAAAACTTTGTCTTCGAGTTGTATGTGCTCTTATAAATTAAAAAGCCTACCTTTCTTTTTACTTTGGTTTAACAAAACAAACAACCATTCTATTATTTTGTGTTATTTATTGATACTTTTTTTATAATGTTTAAGGATACAGCGATTCCGATGACAACGGTCCAGTGTTTCTGGCAAACCTGAGTAATACAACGGTACCCATAGGACGTGATATATCGTTCACCTGTGTCGTTGACAACTTGGGTGAATATCGTGTAAGTAAAAATCCCAACATGAACTTAAAAATGCACGTTACTTATTTTGAAAAAATTGTCAGAAGACAAAATTAAATCAAATTTGAGGAAGACAGCAAATTTGCTACACTTAACATGAATATATTTTTAAAACGTACGATAAAAGGTAAGGTGAGAGATAAATATCAGTTAACAAAACAGACTTAAAAACCTGGTACAAAAAGCTCTATAATTATATTCTTTTACAATATTAAATGTTTGGCCATAAAATTGACTACAGCGTACACTTGTGACTGCGGATTTGGGCTTGGCTTCGCCTTTGCCAGCAGATCAAGGGAGCCGACGTAGGCCGTTGAATAATCGTTTGTGCATGATCATTAATGCGCCGCCTGCTCCGTGTGCCCTGTGCGGTATCCTGTCGCAAGCTGTTTCTTCTTGCCCAAGGTTCCATGTCAGATGAGGAACGACACGTTGAAGTCCGGTGTCTTGCCGTCTGCTTCATTTGCTTCAAATATGGACACTTAGCACGTGGATGCTCATCCTCCCGCTGCCCAACGTGTAAGCGCAGATATCATGCTCTGTTACAGCCTTGCGTGGATCCTGCCGATGAGGCTGGCGTTGCGACGTCTCGGGCTCCGCTAGCTAACGAATTTGTGGCTCAGGATGGCCACGCTGAAGTAGTGTTCTTGCCAACCGCCTACATTCCCGTTCGTGGCCGATCAGGAGACTTCCTTCCCTGCCGAGCGCCACTTGATTCCGCCTCGCAAGTTCATCTCATCACATCGCGGCTGGAAAACCAACTTCAGCTTTATCGGTCCGAATACTCTATTGCGGAGACTTGCCTTGGAGACACTGAAGTCACTAAGGATGGACACCTGAATTCTCCGGGTTCAGAGCTAAGCGCAGTTAATCAGCAGCTACACGAGCTACGCGTGGAAACTAAATTAAGGAAAACCTGTAAGTCATACCGTTACATATAGTCAAGTCAGGTCCTGAATTTAACGGGTTACAAGATGAGTATGTATCATGGCCGCAGTTAGGCACCGACGGCTTCGAGATATTCAAACCATATCAGGGCAGCACTGCGCACTGTGTTATCGCACAATAATTAATCTTAATTTTTACGCCATTTTGGCTAGGTTAGACTGCTGCTATGCAGATAAGACTTCGTTGCGGCTGTTACGGCAAGGGCTTGAGGTACCCGGATAAGAGCCTGATTACGACGAGGTCAAGCGAAAACTCACTCACAAACAAGATTGTCATGACACGACACGGAGAGAGACACGCTCCTTAACACAGAGGTTAAGGATGACGCTCTACATGTATTTGTTTCGGGTCTTAAAAAATGCAAAGGCGGTCGAGCAAAGAAATCAAAGTACGGATTTCGAAGAGGACCAGCGCCGTGCGTCTTAGAATCAAGGGACAAAATTCGGTGCCGATCGCGGCAAGAGAAAAATCGACACTTTTTTAGGAAGTCAGGCAGGAATCAAAGTAACGATTCGTGGCGGAGACAGAGAAATTGAGTAGATCAGGGCAAGCTCAATTGCCTCTAGGTAGATCCGTCGTTCTATAGATTTATGCTACAGACACATTTTATGCAGGGATACAACTCACAACTCCCTACTCCGCAGACCTCGAAAAGGCCAAAGTCTTCACAGAGGATGTCCGGTCAAGGGAACTAGCGCGGCAACAATATAGAGCAACTGGTTAGCGCGGAAAATAATCCAAATTATGAGGATGAGGCCGCAGCCGCTATGAGCGCAATCCAGTATGATAGCAACTCACAGGACTGTGATGATATCGTCAATTTTGTAGAATTCTCATAGATACCGGGGCGGGAAAGAAATACGTAGTTAAGAGATGGCATTATCCGGCCGTCCAGGTCGCCATTCAACAGTCCAATATGAGTTTCTGACAAAAACGTGTCTGATGTCAGTCTGATGACGGTAACAGGAAAAAACGTCTGGTTATCGACTTCAGGAAGCTCAATGAGCGAACAATGATTCTAGCGAACTTAGAGAAGACAAAATTTTTTTCCACTCTTAACTTAACGTCAGGGTACTAACAGATTTATCTTGCCGAAAGGGACCGTTAGAGAACAAATTTCTCCGTGAACGTACGAGTTTTGCCTTCGACTGAAAAAAGCAGGAAGCATTTTCTAGAGCAGATCGGAGGAAATTCTTATATCTATCTATCTTACATGATAATGATACATGATATTAGCGCACCCAGAGATGCCAGTGATCTTCTTCTATTAGGCACGACTGAGAGTGGAATAGTAGGCGGATATGAAGCAGAAGCAGAGACACTGAAGCAAGTTAGGATCATAAGGATAAGGTTAATGAAGAAATTAAGGCAAAATATGAGTAGACGCTCACGTTCACATAAAGTTCTTTTTACAAGAATTTAGCATGATTAATAGCAGAGGTTCAAAATACAACGCTCACGATCACACTTGCTAAACCTTATATTATGAATTCAGCCACAATTATCAATATTTGAAGTCGGGATTAATAGATCACCCTACAATGTCGTCATAAATAGCCTAATATAGGCATAAAATAATAGAGCCCGTCGGTCCGATGTGTACCTGCCCTAAGTTGAAACCCACGAGAAGAACCTATATTATTACTTCCCGTGCTGCATCCACACACTATGCCGAAACACAGTCCAACTGGGTATCCGAATGAAACAACAATACCTTAACGGTCACAGACTTCGTATCATTTACATACGCCTAGGTTTGCAGCCTGGAGCCCACGGTACTTGCACAAGAAAGCCAACGTGCGGGAGGTGCAGAGAGATGTGAAACGTAAGCCAGTGGCTGGCTGCCAGTCATCTAGCCCATCACAGTGCACCGCTTGGTGCAGCTGCGGTTGTTTCAACACTATCTAGATGCTAGGTTAGAATTTGTCCACGTAGAGAGGTTGCCGTCTTTATGGCGGCGTCATTAGCCGCCATTTCTACTTTGGCATGCACCTTGTAAAGTTGGCTCAAGTAACGATTGTTTTAAAACTTAAAAAAAAGAGCTGGGCCAGGCGCGCAAACCTTCAGCAGCATCAGTGGATAGCACGGCAAAGGAGCCACGAATTAAATCATATACTTATACTAAAACAAGTGCCAGTGCCGCGCCTATAAGATACTCGTTACGGTTTTACAAAATTTTAAAATAATCATTTTCCTAGTTGAAATTCACAAGGCGCCACCTATCGTCAGATAAAGCATGTTGAGTAACTGCTAGTGACGTCACTGCCCATGTGAGGACTTATAACCTACATTTTTTCATTACTATGCACCCTGGCAGAGCCACTACCGGTTGGCAGTGAACTGCCGAATTGCTGACATTCTAGATAGTAAGCTATTTATACCTGTTACCCGTAGAGTAAAAGGGTATACTAGATTCGTTGAAAAGTATGTAAAAGATAGAAGGAAGCGTTTCCGACCGTATAAAGTATATATATTCTTGATCAGGGTGAATAACGGAGACGATTGAGCCCTGTCTTTCTGAACTATAAGAGATACAAAGTTGATATTAACCATGAAGATTATTGAGGTCCCTACGCAGCGAAAGTTTATTACAAAATCCTGCCCCTCCCACTCTTACGCCCACAAATCGCGAAAAACTAAAATCGCTGAAATCTTAAGAATTATTAGAGCTAGAAAGTTCAAATTCAGAATGTAGAATCTTGGGATGCCTGCGCATTGTGTGGTGGTACCATTATCCGGCCACACCCACTCTTAAGCCCAAGTATATTAGAAAAGCTGATATCTCGGTAACTATAAGTGATAGAAAGTTCGGATTCAGCATGTAGATTTTGATAATACTCCCAATGCGAATTGGGATTTGATTTTAAAATTATGTAAAACAGTAACGGGTAATTTATAGTCGCCGCACTCGCCGCACTAAATTATCCGGCTACACCCACTCTTACTCTTTTCGTAACACTGAAAAGTGTCGATATATTATCGAAGGAAATCAGACCATCATTATTGTAAACCCGCTTCAGGCTTGCCAGGGCTTTCGGGAAATTAACCGCAGTGGCTTGGAATGCGATGACTGTGCTTAAAGCGTCGCCGGCCACAGACGATATTAGATGATAGAATTTTTCAGTATTTTCAATACTTGTCATCTTTATTGACAAAAAACTCAGAGGGCTTTCCGCTGAAGGTTGGAAGAGCAACGCTCGGCAAACGGCATTGGGAAGTGCGCTTTGCCGGCTGGGCGGCATCATAGACGCTCATACGGCTTCCTTTGTTTATTAGCGAAATCAGTAATGATTTGGCCGTTGCGGCAATTTCTTCGAGTTCCTCGCTGAACAAATCCTCTGCGTCTTTTGCTTCGATTTGATTTTTAATCAAAGCATAGAAAAAATATTCGAATTTAAAATTTTTAAACGACATTCTAATTCGATGGATTTAGAGATAGTCGACCGTCTTGTAAATACAGCTGAGCTCGGGATATACTTATAATTTTTCCATCTCATTTATATTTAAGCGCTTATATTTCTTTGCTATAATTTTATCCTTTTTTTATTCATTTAAATTTTTCAAACATCGAAGAGCTTATTTGTTTATTTAATCGAAGAACTTAATAAAAATTGTATTTAATTCGAAAAAATACAAAATAAACGAGTGGTATATTCCGCACATAAGAAAATAATTTATGAAAACTCCACAGTCTAACTTTCAACTTTAAATGTTCTATACCTGTATTGCAGATTTAGTCTGCTCAGCAACTTCCCTCATTGGCTCCATGTATTTATTTATGATTGAGCTTCCTGTTGGTTCCTGGCTACTGTATAATTTTCGACCGCCGCGGAGGTTAATATTGGGTACACTTGTTTAATTGTTTATGAACATTATTGGCGAAAAACACAACTCACGTCGGGGTCACCCGACTTGTAAAATAAAGGGTTTTAATTATGGCCTTAATAACCAACACAAGTCCGGCGGAACGTACTGACGATAAGGAATTCTGAATTTAACTAAACTTCATTGGGTTTCGCTCCCCTCTTTACGCAAAAAGAAACCAATCTCTGCGACGCTATTCCACTGACAATTTTGTATTCCTCTTTCCGCATCATTACGCCGCAAAT